TAATCCTATTTATCTATATTAATTACCGCTCAACGATATTTGTAATATGGTACAAACATTTTAACAGATATTATTCAGTCGATACTGTAATAATGCGTTTTGAACTAAACGGAAACCAAGGCAGAAAGGCGAAATTCGGAAAATAAAGTGAACTGAACAGGGATGTTGGGTAAAATTTAGCAATGGAAAGGAACGTCGAACTTTGATTTTTGTAACTGATAAGGTGACTCCAGACATACGGTATTCGCCGAATGCCGATTGCTGCCGGACAGCTCTCAAGTGTCGAGATGCTCGTCGTGGCATTCGCCAAATAGCGTGCCCGTGTTTACAGCCAGTATGTGCAGAAAAAGCTAATATTCCTAGTTAGTCCTCAACGTATTGCCATTCATGATGGACAACAGTGAATCCGATATTGCTGCGGCTGCGGTTACTGTTTTGTGTAGACTCAGTCACTGAGTACTGTTGCCCCATCATACTTTCCATCCGTTTCTTCCTCTCATCGAAAACCTCGTTCCGATTTTTGTCATTCGGAAGAGAAGCGTTCCAAATTATTGGTTCAGTTTAGTACAGATCGAATAACTCCAAGACTGTTATGTTGGGCTAATCCATTCCTAACCGACAGAAACGTTATAATGTTCTTTCATTAATACATTTATACTAGTAAGGAATCGTTTATTATTGAAAAATAAATAGCAGTGGTGATTCATGATGACAGTTGATATCCGTGCAGTACAGTTGATCCCGAATGTGGGTTGCTTTTAGTTCGGCTTCAAGTATATTTGTGCATTTTGAAGGAAATCGACAATTAGCCGAGCACCGAATATTGTCGCTCGGTTTTCTTGTCCGCTTCAAAGTGCACGAATATGCGTGAAGTAGACGAATTCAAAGTACTGTACCTAAATGCACTGTAATCAACAATCAACAGCTATTATTTACCTCTATTTATTTATTAATAATAATCGATTACTAACTACTATAGGTGCATTAATGAAAGAACAGCATAGCATTATATCTGTTGGCCCAAATTAACTGTCTTGGAGTTCCTCGATCTAAGCCAAAAATTTGGATTGCTTCTCTTTCGAATCACAAAAATCGGAAACATTTTTTCGATGGAAACGGATCGAAAGTAAGATGGAGTGGGGCAACACTGTGACTGATTTGTGACTGAGTTTGTAGCCACTACACAGTAACTGCAGTTTCACTGTGGTCCATCAATATTTGTAGTTAAGTTGAGGACTCGCACGGCACGCGAATTTTCGCTGTTTCCGCGCAATCTGTGTAGTTGTACAAACCCTGCATGTGCTGGCGTATGTCAAGACGAGCATTTCGGGATTTAGCAAATATTCGGGGACAATCGGCCTTCAGCGAATGCCGCAGGTCTGGAGCCACCTTTATGCGATAGAAAGAAATAGAGCAAGGGAGAGAGGAGAGAACAGATAGAATTATCGGCCAAACTGCAGAAAGATCATCTGAGAATTATGATGTCAATTGCCATTGTTCAAATAAAAACGTAAAATTGGTGAAAAGTGAGACGTGGCGGCCTCACCAGCAATCTGATATCAGCAATTTAAGGGGTGGAGGCGCAGTTCCTCGGGACAGCGGTTGCAGACGCATTCCTCTAATATAGCCTTACACGGCCGTCAAGTGTCAAATGTCCTTTCAGACGGTCGTCTTCCTGTTCGTCATGTCCTGTGGGAACCTTCGAGATAAGGAGAACATAAGCGGGACGCGAAATGGGTCAGAAGAACGTCCACGGGCAACCGATCAAAGCGATTACACGGTCGAAGATTAATTAAAACAGGAAAACCAAATCCGACAAAGGGAAGTGCTATTTTAAAAAGACCGTTAGTAACTCGCATAATTAGCCAATTTGGTCCGCCAATTAACGCTGCCGATGAATTGGACGAAAACAGATCGTTGTCAAGACGTGCGTTGCGTCGCTGCGGCAACTTGGCAGACATACCGTCATAAAAATGCCATTCCACATATTAAAAAATTAAAAATAATTCACAAATGTTTACACTGTCACAAAAAAAAACTAACGCGTATTCAACATAAAGAGATTGTTGATTAACTTGCACGATAAAACCACTTGCAGAAAAAAAAACTTTTAACCCGATTACAATTGATATTGGGATGATGGGGGGACTTTTTTATATGGTTTGACGGTTTTTACGTTCTTAAAAGTTCAGAGTGGATGTCCGGACGACTATGAACTTCGCGAATAGTCTGTTAGAAGAATTGGCAGACTACTCGCCAAGTCCATAGTCGTCCAGACATCCACACCTGAACTTATAAGAATGTAAAACAAATCATCAAACCTTATTTAAAAAAAGTCACTAAGGATGGTCTACATTAGACCGAATGTGTCTGACTTAATAAATGCCTATTGTGGAAAAGATATTTCCTACCCATCATCTTACTACAGGGTTCAACAAAATTAGGATGCACACCATCAAAAAATTAATATTATAAACAAGTACAAAAAGACAACAACAGTGAAAAAGTCTCGTCCGACTTTTGTCGAACAAAAAAGATGAATTCAAACATTTTTTATATTTGTTTAGTGGCTTACTGATATAATAATCTGTTATTGCATTAAAAATGTACTAAATAAATAAATTCTTATTATACAGAAGGGCTTGTCGCGAACGAATGGTCAATACTTTACATTATTTTCTCCATATTACTAACACTTAAAAATCGTCTGATAAAATTTTTATTTAAAGATATAAATGTATATGTATGTATGTAATTTTATGTATGAACGTATTTAAGGATGAATGGACACATTATCAACAAAAATTGTCTAGTACGCAGACCTAAATTCACAATTAGAGTATTAATAGTGAAAGACGTATGAATGAATATTAGTCAATTTACAGGATTAAATCTCATAAAGGGGCTCCCAATAGGGAAACACAAAACGGATTATTTTTTGTTAATTTTTATTTTTCATTAATCTCATAACCATTTAGCTAAGAAGTTGTAAGAAGGTTTATTTCGAACTACAATAGATATCATTTCATATCAAATCAAAAGAAAACAAATCGAACTTTTGAAAGGAAAACACTTCAATTTGTGAGTTTATGTAAGTATGCGCGTACATACAAATAGACGTATTAAAAAATTAAAAATCGACCTTTGAGCGTTTTATGAAAATCCTGCCAGATAAACCTATGTTCTAAGCGTGCGAATCAGCGAAACGCCTTCAACGTACATATGTTTTCCCGGACATGAAACATGGACAAGTGAAAAATCAATTTTTTTCAGGCTTAAAGAACACATTGGCCTAAAAGTAAATGAAGCTGCTAAGCATGCTTCTGGCCACAGCGATCTGCTGGAGGCGTACTGTAAGCTGCGTAAGTCACATTCCAAAGCAAGAATTAAATACTGAAGATTGAGAATTGACCTGGACGGATACTGCAAATGGGAGCCAGGCCGAAATTCTTCCCCAACGACAACGATCCAGCTATTGAATGGGCATGGGAAAAATAGGGCATATCTTAAATGATTTAATATTTTACCTGACCCCCTACTGACTCTGTGACAATGTTTACAACACTTAGGAAGACATAATATTCCACTGTACAAACTTCGAGAAGCGGACTTCCACTTCGAACCTGCATCCTCCAGAACGTCTCCCGGAGATTTTCCGACCCAATAATATTTGTGCAAAATAAAGAACTAACACACATTTGAAGCAATATTGATTTTCAAAACTTATAAAAAGTACATACATATAAAAAAAAAAATAATTAGCATTACTCAGTACAAGATGTACGTGTAATATTAAAACGGAGCGTCTATCTGACAATTAAATCCCCGGATTTAGAGTTGCTCTCGCTGGAAAAAATACTCTCTCACCCTCTTTCTCACTCTCGCAAATTCTCCCGTTCTCACATTCTCTCTTTTTCTTTCACTCTCTCTCTCTCTCTCTCTAACTTACTCTCATACGATTCATCTCTCTCACATTATCAATCTCGCGAAAGAGAAAGAGTGATATCTTTCTCCCTGACTTTCATTCAATCCCTCTCTCACATCTCTCTTTCTCTACCACAATCACTCTGTTTTTTTTTTCTCTAACTTTCACGAGCTTCCTCTCACACAAATACACACACTCTCTCACTCTCTCTCACTCTCTCTCACTCTCTCATACACACACACACACACACACACACACACACACACACACACAAAAACACCCTCTCTCTCACATACACACACACATACACGCTCTCACAAGCACTTTCTCTTTTTTCCATCCCTCACTCTCCCTGACTCTCACCCGATCCACCTCTCTCACATGATCCATCGAGAGAGAGCAAGTGAGAGGGAGATCTTTACCTTGACTTTCACACAATCCCTCATTCTCACACACCTCTCTCTCGACCACTATCACTCTCTCTTTTTCTCTAACTCTCACACGCTTCCTCTCTCTCTTTCTTCAGGGTTAAACCATTTATTTGACTAGTGTAATATTTTTTTTTAATAGGCCACCGCGGAATGCGGGTTACATTGCGGATCTTAGAAAGGAAATCGTACGACCTTCGAGGTCGTCCGCTGCACAGCTGATCCGGATTGTAGAAATCCTTGAAAAAAAAACTTCCCCCGCTCGTAACAAGGAAAGTCGATGACCCATTTTTCTCCCTTAACCTGTCCGTGATCAGTTTTAAGCACTAAATCACTATATTAAATACCTTTTAATATGTTATTAACCGCATGTTTAGTAATCAAACAATTTATGTGTATGATGATTATAAAATGGAGTGATAAGATGAAACCTCCTTAGAAGGTTTTCCCAAAGCTGATAAAAAATTTTAAAAAAGGGCTCAGGCGTTTGAAAATTGTTTTTTCCGTTTGGATAATAAAGCTCGGGATGGAAATGCGTTCTGGATTTTCCAAAAATTAATTAAACTATTAAATATATCGAGGAAGTAATGTTAACGTAGGAAAGCGAGGGAAATTTTGACAATTAAATAAAAAAAAGGGTCACTCACCACTTGTCCGTTCGATTCTGCCATCTCTTCGCCGGTGGAAGATGAGTTGAAAATATTTATTCAAAAACGAAAAAAAAACGCGCTTGTCAATTTTCCGAACTGGACCGAGGACGGAGAGGATTTCCCATTTTTCTTCTTTTTTTTTCGACGACACGACTGGGACTCGGGCACAGGGGGTTAAAATAACTGGCCACTCGGCTCGACGGGCCTTCTCGTTCTCAGACCGGAGATGCCTGAATCGAACCGGACCTTCTACTCGTCGCCGTTAGGATACGCCACGAACGGGTTCCGGAACGGCGGACTGTGACGTCACCAAAAAGAACGGTGAAAAATCATCACCTCCCTCGAACCGGTTCTTGGTCCGCAACGTTTCGCGTTTCCCCAATTCTCCTACGGTCATTACCTAAATCGAAAGCTGTGAAAGTACATCAACTCGAAGAAAATTATTTCAACCAGATTATTTATTGATTATTGAGTGAGTAGAAATACTTTGATTGAATATAAAAAATATATTTTGCATATAAATTCACTTTTTTCCACATCCTACGTGTATTTGTTAAATGTAAACAATGTTTGTAAATTCCAAGCCCTGAAGATGATCTCAATAAAGATCGAAACGTTGGCACGATAAAGAAAATGTTTTTCTGAAATCTACGTCACACCAGACGCATCTCACTATTTCTGAATAATTATTTATTAACTCAACTTATTATATTAATCCATTTTGTTTTTATGGTCCAATTGACCATATTAATTATTTCAATTAATTATTCTTTTTATTTAAGGTCTTGGTTGAGATGAAAAAAAAAATCAGTTGAGCTATCGGGACTTCGATCTACTTGGACACAATTGAGCCGAAGGTCGTGGGTTCGAATCCTGTTTGTGACACAAACTTTCTCATCTCAACCAAGACCTCACATAAAAAGAATAATCAATTTAATATATATTTTTTTATCTAAAGTCTTTTATCTAAACCAGTCGAAGATTGTAGGCTGGATTCCTGCTGGTGACACTTTTTTATCTCAATCAAGACCTCACATAAAAAGAATAATAAATTTATTATATATTTGTTTATCTAAAGTCTTTTTTCTAAACCAGCCAAAGGTCATAGGTTCAAATACCACTGGTGACAGTAACTTTTTCATCTCAACCAAGACCGCACAGAAAAAGAATAATCAATTTATTATCTTTTTTTTTTTTTTAATCTAAAATCTTTTATCTAATTAGTCAAAGATTGTGGGCTCGAATCCTGCACTTGACACTAACTTTTTCATCTCAACCAAGACCTTACATTAAAAAAAATAATCAATTTATTATATCTTTTTGTAAATCTAAAGTCTTTTATCTAAACCAGCTGAAGGTCATGGGTTCAAATCTCGCTGGTGACACTAACTTTTTCATCTCAACTAAGACTGCACATAAAAAGAATAATCAAGTTTTTTTTTTAATCTAGTCTTTTATCTAATTAGTCGAAGATTGTGGCCTTGCCTTGAATCCTGCTCTTGACAGTAACTTTTTCATCTTAACCAAGACCTTACATTAAAACAAATACTCAATTTATTATATCTTTTTGTAAATCTAATGTCATTTATCTAAACCAGCTGAAGGTCGTGGGTTTGAATCCCACTGGTGACACACTTTTTCATATCAACCATGACGGGGGCTATCGACAGCTAGGTCATATGAGTCAACAATACCCTAGCATAATACTACTTTTTTCTACTACCTTACTGCTTCTATCAGTCGCAAAAATAAATACATTCGTACATATATTTAAGCTGGTGTACTTCAAGGCTCTATTCTTGCTCCTTTACTATTTTCCATGTTTCTAAATCATCTTCCATTTGTTCTTAATTTCTCCCAATTTCATCTTTATGCTGATGACAGTCGGCTTTACATTCAACATCGTACAAGCAACCTTGCTGAAGTTATCTGCTCAACTGTGATCTTCATGTTCACAACCAATGATCAAGAAATAATGGCATTCTTTTAAGCCCTTAACAAATCCCATCTATATTAATTTCCAATAAACCCATTAGTGCAAATTGTCTATCCCCCTCCTCACATAAATGGCTCCCCTATTCATTTTGCCCTAAAGTTTAAAATCTGGGCGTTATTTTTAAGTCCAAGCTTACATGGCATAACCATGTGAGCTCTATTATTAAAAAGGTCTATTCAAGCCTCCATTCTTGACTCGATAAGTAGATTGAGAATCTATGGAAAGTGAAAAAATAGTGCTACAGTAAGGGAATAAAGAAATTATTAGGGATTTAATAAGGAGAACTCTAGTTTTCTGTGGAGTGCAAAAGCTGAGGCGTCGAAGACCATGGTTGAGTAGAAAGATAGCGTGTAGGATTGAATGTAAACCTGAGTAACATCACAATAAAGATGAAATTGGGAGAAATTAAGAACTAATGGAAGATCATTAACAAACATGGAAAAGAATAAAGGTCCAAGAATAGAGCCTTAGGGTACACCAGCTGAAATTGAGATCTTTGAATTCTGTCAGAAAGATAGGAGGAAATGAGATTGGTAGCAGTAGAAGAAATACCAAAAAGATGCGTCACATTCCAAATAAGTAAATTATGATTCACACAACTGAATACATTGGAAAAATCAAGTATAACAATAATAGTACTTATTATCATCAGTGCCTAGGTGAATATCATCTGAGATTTTGAGAAGGGCTGAACTATGAATTTTTCAGAAGCCAAATTGAAAAGGGGATATAAGGGCATGGTTGTCAATAAATAAGAATATTTGTTTAAATAAAATATTCTCAAATGCTTTGGATTGTGATGAAGAATACTAATAGGTCAATAGTCACTAGCAAGGATGGGTTTTAAATTGGTTAATACAACTATTAGGGCTGAAGGAAAACAGGAGGTGAGATAGATGTTCAAAATGTGTATTATGTTTTTATTATTCGGATTTGGATTTTGGATAATAAATGTTAATAATAATAATGTTTTATTTAACTAGAAAGAAATACAATAAAAAAAGGAGATCAACTTTAATAATAACAGTGGACTAAGAGTCTGTCAAGTTTACATAGTCAAATAAATACCAACCAAATAAAATAAAATGTAGTAAAATATTATTTGTTAATAAAATGAAACATTAATATAAATTAAATTCAAACAACAAAAACTTCCTATATTTTAAAGCAGTAATGGTATATGAATTTAAAAAAAAATTCCAGTTGTCTCCATTTAAAATGACTAAACACTGATCATGTGACAAAGAAATCTGTTGGATAGGACATTCGCCTAGAAAATGCATTTCATTGACATTGTAATTGCATAGTGAACAAAGGCAATTTTAATTTTGCCTCCAGGGTTGACAATTGAAGATTATCATTTCTGTTCTTAATTTAAAAATTAAGCTAGCCTTGTTTATACTGAAACAGTTGATCTATTCTAGATCATGACGTAACTGTTTGTAGTACGGGTGGAGTCTTGCTGCGGATGCATTGAACAATAATCTGTTGCTTTCCCTTAACCTAAGCTTCTCTAAAATTTTTACAGTGATACTTCTAATATATTCAGCACTGTGTAGGGGGAATTTATATTCATGGGGTCTATTAGATTGGTTTACTCTTGTGTGGCTTAGAACACTATAACACCTCAGACAGAAGGATGAAAAGAAAGCGAAGTAACAATGGAACTTGCTCATTGGACACAAACAATTCAAGAACCTCCTAACAAAACTTTGGAAAGAAAGAGGTACAGAATGTATTAAAGGAAGACGAAAAACTGCTAATCCTAACATGATTTTTAAAATGACACTGCAAACTAAATAGACATCTGAAGAAGATTGGCATAATCCAACTCAGCAAGTGCAGATTCTACAAATAAGCAGAAGAAATACCAACATACCTACCAACAAACTGTGGTGCTACACTTGCCACAAGAGGAAATGTTTTTGGGACATACAACGTAACCATAGAAAAGATTCAACCACCGAAACCGGCCCTACTAATCAAGTTCCTGATGAACTAGGACTTACCAGTGTGCTTTATGGATAACAGGGGATACAATAGCTCTTAAAGGGTGCAATAAATATGCTATTTGCCTCCTGTACACACTAAGCAAATCATGGCCAATACTCCATAATTTTGTTTATTGGATACAATAATTTTTTAAAACAATTAATACCGTGTATAATGGTCCTCTGTGCACCCGCTAGGCATATTGTTAATAAGGTTGTCGTTAATTTCTTAATGAATTTCACTCCATAGATGTTGCAACGCTGCACTCAGTTATTCCAGGTCAACTGGCTGCTGATGGTGATCAAAAAGTCTTCTCTACAAAGCCCTCATGCTCAATGGGATTGAGATCTCGAGACAATGGGGGAAGGGGCAGATGGGAAATTCCTAGGTTTTCAAAACGCTGCCTCTACGAGGCATTGTCATCCAAAAATAGAAAATCCCTGCCAATGAGATCTCTGGTTTGAGGGATGTATTCCTTGATAATTTCTTGGCCTTAACGGACTGCTGTGTGGTTGCCTTCAACAATATGTAGTCCAGTTTGTCCTCTAGTGTAAATCCTAGCCATTACACTGTCTCCTCCAAATTGCGTTGAAGGGAGCACGAACTGGGGCATTTTATGCATCCCATTATTCTTGGTAGACTCTTCGGCACCTGCTGTCACTATATAGACAGAAACGCGATTCATCAGTAAACATAACAGCATTCCAATTGGTGTGCTCTACTAGGCGCTCATTGCTCCATTGACTCAGTGCTTCATATTCTCCTGAGTTGCTGCAGGTTGTCTCAAAGGGCTGATTTTGAATCCCAATTGGTGGTAAGAAAGGCCAAAACATCTTGTACTTCATTTAGGATCTGGCAGGCATTATGGATAGGGTTTCATCTTGAAGCACTGACAATATTTCTGTCCTCCCTTAGTGTCATAATGCGGTGAGATCTGCTTCCAGGCCTCCTGTAGGCACTTTACACACTTCCAGTCTCTCGGAATTGGGCTAAAGCCTGGGACAGCTCTGAGAAACGCCAACCACTTCTGTGACTTTCTTAGTCGTGATGACTCATTCTCACAATAATACTGCAAACTTCTGGCTCAAGATAATGTCTATCCATGGTCAGAAAGAATAGAACTGGATTAAAATGTAGAAAAGACGAAAAAAGGTGTTTGTTTAAAATGAGTAATCTTCATGTTAACTATTCTTAAAAATGAATGAATGATATTCATTTAAAAAATATATACAGTATTTACAAAGAAATTAAAAGACTGGCTTCAGGCTTCCTGCGTATAAACCTGATCTAAAGAAAAAAAAATAATTAAAAACATATCTATATATTCAGCCACCTTGACAAGTCAAAGCTTGTGGTTTTTCATGCAGGTGGAAGGTTAGGGAAAAACGAGAGATGGGTGTTGCTGAGTAGGAGAATTTTGAGCGAGTTTTGTCATCTGGGAATAACGATTACCCCAAAACTGTCCATGGTTAAACATGTAAAGAAGAAATCCCTGGCTGCGAAGCTGGCTATAAATAAGGTTTGGTCTGGCCTAATTTCAAACGACCTTGCACCAATAAAAAGTAAATATCAAATTTTCACAGCCATTTGTTGTGCAATTCTTTGCTATGCAGGTCAAGTTTGGGGCTATCGCGAATATGAAGAGATAGAAAAAGTTCACTGTTTTTTTGTTTGTAAGTTGTTTGCCCTGCCATCATCAACTCCTAATTATATGTTGTATATTGAGACTGCATAGAACTGTTGTTTGTTTATTCTTTAAAGTTACATTTTAATTTTATTTTGAAATCGCTTCAAGCTCCTGATTCTCGCCTGGTAAAAATCACATCACTTGAAGTTATTAAGGGTAACGTATCCTGATTCAAAGAATAAAAATAAGTTACAAATATCCCTATTCATTTTTGAGCAGTTTAATTTAAACGAGAAGGTGGTTGAAATGATTTTTTGTAAATTTACAAACAAGCTAGTAAAGTTTTGAATTTCCCGCCAAATGGCCGTTGTTCTGGGTTTGAAAAATCAATGCTGCCTGTAATCATTTGTTATAAATATTTTTTTAATGAATGTTTTATTTTTATTTATAAAATGAAATATGTATTGTATTTTTGAAAAAATCATTTGGATTTTTGTGTTTTTAGTAATATGGTTGTCGTTTTTCGTTTTTTTTTTGCTGTAGTTTTTATATATTTAACGTTATTTTTTAATGCGTGACAGATCAAAAATTCTTGTTTACTGGATTTTGAAGGATGTTTTTTGTCTGATAATTTAGATTTTTTAGTTTTGATAATTGTTTTCTCGACTTAACTTGACGTATGTCTGAACATATGTTCCGGCAAATCTAGGTTGACTTCGAGGCTCGGCCCTTTTGCACGGAAGAGTTGTTTTTTTTCTGTTTTTGTTTTGTTGACGTCGACCCAGGGATCGCGAACTGTTACCAGGGACCGTTTTCCAGGATCGGCCGTTCGTCGGGAAAGGTAAGCGAGACGTGGTTTTTCCTTGAGGCGACGTCGGCCGTCGGCGTTCCTCGGCCGCACCCACGCAATCTGAAAATAAAACAAATAATCCCTTTTGACGTGACGTTTTTCCTCGTCCTCGGTGCTTTCCGACTCCCCGGTCTCTTCCGATGCCACTCGACGAGTTTACAAATTGCCCGGAATCTTTTTAAATAATTTTTTAAAATAAACATAATTTTTTTTTAACAATCGTGTTCAATCATTTCAAGATAGTTATGATTCGAGTGTTTTTACACATGCACAAATGACAGGATGCAGGTGAAGCATGCAAATGCAGTTGGACGTGTCATCGACCTCAAGCTGACGTTTCTTAAGCGAAACGACAAAGTTGGTCAATACATACAATCCAAACATTCCCATAACAGGCCATAAACAAAGTATATTAAAAGCATTTATCAATATTTGCCACAAAAAACAATGTTTTATAATTTTTATAAAATTGTCCATAAAATTTTTTCAAAATTATATTGCTTTGCTTTAAGCATATACCTGAAAATCACTGTTCGCAAAATATGATATTGCCTTCTCCCTGACATTGGAAAATTGTTTGTACCCTTTGCCAAACCCAAGATTTAATTCATCGGAGACTAATGATCAATTGGCTTGATTATTTGGGTGCTTTCACCACTTCCGCTCCTATCATTTCGGTCGATATCACCTTGTAATTTTCTCAATGTGAAAATGCGCCCATGTTCAATCAATGCATTTCTTTTTCTCAGTTCAGTTGGTGAACGTGATGAACCAAAACCTTTATAAGTATAATTGGAGTGTGGTGCCATAATAACACGAAGGCACCATTAATCACATCAAAGCTTTTGGCCCCATGAGTCGTTTACAAACTAATCAGCTTAATTCCCAAGCTTTGGCAATTAGATTTCTCACAGCAGGCCGGGAAAATAACTCCAGCTTTGCTGACAGCATGGGGTCATACATGGATCCTGTCTTGCCCAAGAAGCAGGCTCCAAGTGTATCGACAGCTAGATCATTTCTGCCGCCTAATATGAATCAATATCTGATTAATATTTTTAGTCCTTTAAAAGAAGCAAATTGAAGATAAACAATAGCGATTTGGTACGGACGACAAAAACCTTAGTCCATCTGACCCCGACAGTTCCAAGATAACATTGACACCCTTTTCATTCAACCACTTTGACATATACAACTGATAACAACAGACAATTCATCAAAACCAGCCAAATTAGACGGATCAGAAAGGCAGATCTATCTAATCTTAAAAATTTACTTTGTCGTTCTTAATCCTTTTGGGTTAGATATTCTTATGATCGTTCTGCCCACCATTTATATTATTATGGCAATGGTTAACTCGCTATTCCTCCATAAACATATACATAAAAAAAGGGTCATAGGTTATTTATTTTTCCATCATCGACCTTCTTATCAAACAAATTTGTAATATATTTAATACAACATCATTGAGAAGCAAGCAACTATAAACTAAGCTCCCAATTTCTCTAAAAAAATATGTAAAAAGGATATTCAAAAACTCGTTGCTGTGTTCAAGAACAAAGTCCATGTTGGTTGGAATGCCTACTCGTTCATAAGAAACCAAGGCTTGAAACCTAGCATGAAGGACCCAAATCGTTCTATTACTGCTACTTCCTATGTGCATTCTATTTATTCGATTGTGATGATGGTGTGTTGGAAATTTCTCCATGAGTGTCGATAGCATAGATAACGATTTTCCACCATCGCCTTTCATACTAGTCATTCATATCTGTAAATACATTCTATTTAACTGTTGTGTGGAGGGACCTTTAGGAGTGAATAGTGTACCCAAGAGGGAACTTCCTGTGAGTCAACCTGTACAACTAACTTCCAGAAGAACTTCCAAAATTCAGATGTTCCTTGAACTGAACCCAGAGAACCAATAAGAGAACCTCCGTATCTCCCAAAATTAAAACTGATCCCCGCAACTGCTTTCCGGCCGTTAAGATAAGATTAACTGGAGCGCACTTTTTGCGGCTCTCTTGATGCGGATTAATTCTCAACACAGCATCATGCTGATCGTTTCATCAGTACCCTGGGAAGCGTAGGACACAATCAAACGGCAAACAGCCAAAAACAGCTTGTATTTACTGCAGACCGGGACAAGATTATTTGAATTGAATTTAGCCAACATTGAATTCATTGCATATTTTGCAATATGAGTCTTTCGCTTGAGATGTGCATTGAGTGAAAGTTTAGGAGTGAGAATTAAGCCCAAATATTTATAATCAATTACTATTTCAATGCGAGAGCCCTTAAAATACCAGCATTCATTAGCCGCAAGCCTGCCTCCCCTACAAAAAACCATAATTTTGGATTTGTCTAGGTTGACTGAAAGATTCCATTTATTACAGTAAATCTCTAAGGCATTAATATTTTTCATCAGGATAACTGGGGAGTCTGTCAGAAATTTCAATATTTCCGTAACCTATACTGTATTCAAGACAATCAGAGAGATCGTCGAGAAATAGGGAGAATAATAAAGGACTCAAATTACATCCCTGTTTAACCCCTGAGCGCACCTCAAAATATCTCGATACCCCCCTCCCCAATGACTGCAGAACGATAATGTGTAAATAAGGATTTTAGTATTGAAAGAATTTTTATTGAAACAATTGAATCCCTACATCGCTATTTTATCCATAAAATTTATCCCCTCCCTTCTTTCACTACATGATCTACCTTGAGACCTCAGTTGAATTTTTGTTTCAATTTACATTAAATGTACCTCCTATGTCTGCTGGGTCCTAAACCTTCCTAACCACCGCCTTCCCAGTCGCTGGAAATCATAAGGTCCAAAATATCATGGTTTTCTTCCTGGAATACCTTGGCTCAACAATTTCAGCTCAATGAGAATTTCTCTCTGGACAATTATAAAGAGTGGCCTCTTTTGGACTCAAAATTGATCAACCATATCCGTACCTCTCACACAGTGAAATGTCTTGTTCACGCTCAAAATTCTTCTAGGTTTTCGCTGTATCTTAATACCAATCAACCTTTCTTGAACATAGCACACAATTCTAAAATTCCATCCATTCCACTAGCTCGCTGGTTTATCAAAGTAAGGTGTGAGTTATTTTACCTTAATTATAATCCCACAAGAGTCAATAGATCCAATAAGTGCTCTCTCTGCAACATGCAGACTTGAGAAAATTGTTTTCACTTTTTAGCAGAATGCCTAGTTTTAGCGGAATTCCAAGTATGGCACATAGGCTTGCCCACATTGACAAGAGAGCACCTAATCTCTTTATTAAATAACCCCGTATGCTTAAATTTAGTAAAGTTTGCGATGGAATCCTGGAACTGCAGGAAAGAACTAGTTTTTTTATTTCAATTATTAAATGTTTATTTTATGTATGTAAGAGACACCCTGGTTATTTATATGTGCATAAGTATATGTAAATAGATACGTTGTTATTTTAGTAACTTACATAGTTTTTTCCTCTTTGTTTATTCCTTGAGAAGAAATTTTTAGTCCTGTTTTGTTTATTTATTAAAAATTTATAGTTTTTTCTCTCTTTTGTTTATCTAATAAAGTACTTTTTCATTCATTCATTCATCGTGCTGATCGTACCCATGAGCTTGGCACACGTTTCATTACATAAAGGCTTAAGGGGTCCTCCAGCATTGTTCGATCTGAAGAAGACCAATTTTAAAGGTTACTCTTTGGTCAAGCTGCATTCTTTAGATGAACTCGGCGTGAGTATGGCTTCTGTTCGCTTTGCAGTTTGCATGCCCTCGAATCTGTTTTTCATTTCTTGACATTCAGTACTGGGTGAAATCCGCTTGCTTCAACTAGGTTGCTTCACTCTGTCAAGGGGTGGACTTCTGGGTTTTTTGGAGTGTTCAAGATCTAGGCCTTTGATTGGGTTTGTGAGGCACTGGAGATACGAGAGAAGAATTTAATTATTGATTTTATTACTGAAGTAATATTTTTTCTCTTTTATCTTTTTTTTAAATGGACATAGAATTCTCTGTTGTATTTTGATTTATACTGGAACTATTACAGTTTTTCATTCATTCATTCCCACCAGCTAATGTAGTCTGCTTCATTGACAAATGACCTACATGGAACCCTCAAAAAACAAGAAGTAAACACATGATTCAGATTTTTCAAAAGATTCCTGGATAAAACTGACTTTACAAATAAAAGACTCTCTGCAATCAAAAATCCTTCGAATCATCGCCATTGCTCCTTTCTATCGATCCAATCTTAGCATTCACAATGAGCTTAACATACAATATGTCCTTGAAGTAGTGAAAAACAGCTGCAAGAAATTTCACAATTATCCAATCAGACAAACCCTCATGTTAGAAATCTTTTATCTCGCACCCTTACAAACATTCCTCCCCGACAGCTGAAGCGTCAATGGCCCCGCGACCTTCTGACAGTGAATGTGATTACTGCAAATGTATAGGATTGACTACTAATGAGTTGTTCCTCTTTTTTTTTTTCTGTTTTATGTATATTTTTGTGTTCATTTTGTTTTGTTTTACGCCTTAAAATGCTATCAAATTTAGAGAGAAAAAAGTTGTCCCCAAAAAACACCTTATTACATGGCCAATAGCGGAACGGCAAAAGCTTTATGACGAGGGTGAAGGATTAATTAGAAAAGAGCAAAGGAGCCTAATTGAACTGTAATTATCTTATCTCTAACAACCTCATGAAGATCGAAAAGATTTGGCATATTAGTGAGAAAAAAAATCCACGACAAAGTGAATCCTACAGAAACTAGGACAGAAGACAATCAGGGTGGTTTGGGATTGCTAGGGGTGATTATGGCTGGGCAAGTATAGGTACTGGTGGTTCATGTTATTAGGTCATGTTGGTCGGTTAGACTTTTTTTTTAATGATGCAAAAAAAAATTGTCAAAATGAACCATTTTTTCTTTAAAAACTTGAGCAAAGCCCAGTTGAAAATATAGATAATAAATTGGAGAGATGGATACTGCGAG